GGCAGTTTTGAGGTCACAGAGGGTTTCAGGGGGAGGACTGCATGGCCTTGGGAGTTGGGGTTGCCTCACTGCTATGTCTGGAAGGCAGGGGAAGTCTGGATTGGCACCAGGGGAGGCAATAGGCCTGGAGAGCGGCTTAGATCTTCACCCGAGGAGCTCATTTTTTGGGAGAAACTTAATCCCACATTGTTTGTCTCTACTCTGCAGATGCCTCAACTGAGGAAACCGCTGGAATCTTATTTGAAGGGGAATTTGGCCCCAGAGCCCCCTCCCCACTCACTAGTGGGAGAGTGCCAAGACTTCAGTCACTGCCACCAACTCCAGCAAACCCCAGACCACAGGAATGCAACCCGGTCACCTGGGGACAACAGAATGAGGTGACTGGACAGCGAATGGGCTACAGGCTGTCAGTCTGTGCTGTGTGTGTGGGTTGGTTGTTTTTTTGACAAAGGTATTTGGATTTGGGGTCCCCAGACCTCAGCAGGGATCCAAGCCGTTGCTGCCATTCTGGTCATGGGACATGGGTGGTCACCTCTGTGACTGGTCACACTCACCTTGCCAATTCAGCTCTCAGCCAGACCCATGTGAGGAGCTGATATTGGCCAGGAGAGAAGAGCCACAGCTGGGAATGATGGCAGGAGGGGGAAGGGTGGAATCTGCCCATTTCGGGCTTCATGGGCTTAGCAGGGAAGTTCTTAGCAGGCCTATGCAGGGCCAAGTAGACCATCACCGGGAGAGTGAGTGCTGTTCCAAGTACTTCCCACATCTGATAGCTTTTCTCTTTACAGACCAGAGACCGAGGAGGGTGAGGGGACAGTAGCAGGCACTAAGGGCAGAAGCTGGGTGGGGCAGCCTCCCCCAATGCTGTGTTCTTTCTGCACCAGCCACTGGCCCCTAATTGGGACTTGTTTCATGGTAGGATTCTAGCTGGAATTGGGGTTCCCCGCGCCCGTCTTCTCCTTCCTCCTTTCTTTCCTCCCCCACCTTCTGTCTTGTGTATGTGTGCATGTATGCATCTGCACGCACGCGTGGGGGGCGGTGGGAGTGGTTGTGGGGGTCAGAGAACAAACCTCAGGTGTCATTCCTCAAGTGCCATTTACCTTCCTGTGGTTGTTGTTGACACAGGAGCTCTCTTTGCCTGGAACTCATCACGTAGGTTAAGCTGGCTGCCCAGTGACTCTCAGAGACGGCTCGTCGTCGTGTTTCCTGCTTCTTGGTGCTGGGATTACAACTATGCACCACCATGCCATGTTTTTTAAATTTTGTTTTGTTTTTAAAAATGTGGCTTCTGGGGGATTGAACTCGGGGCCTCATGCCCGTAAGGCAACCACTTTACAGACTATCATTGCCCGGTCTCCCTCCCTCCCTTCTCCTCCCTTCCTTTTTATAGGTGAGACCCAGGCACTTTAGCATGCTAGGAAAGTGCTCTACCACTGAGTAACATCCCTAGGCCTTAAAAAGAAGTGATTTTAAAGATGGATCTTGCTAAGTCATCTACGCTGGCTTTGGATGTCCAATTCTCCCTTTCACCCACCTCTCAAGTAACTGGGATTATGGGGTGCTCCATTGTACTCAGCTGGAATCCCTCTGGTTTTGAGAGGGAATAGTAAGTTGTCTGCTTCTAGAGGAAAGCCCCCAGTCTTAGATGGGGCAGCAGTTCATCTAAGTCATCGGGGCAGGTCAACCATCTATCCCAATCTTCATGGTCCATGGACTTTGTGCTCAGAGGAGTTGGGGAGGGGCGTGAGAGGTTTCAAGCTGGGGCAGGCCCAGCCGGATATGTGTTTTGGCAAATTTATCTTGGTTGTGTCAGAGATGGCCTGCTAGAGCTGGGAGTGCTGAAGGAGCGATGGGGCAACACATCTAAGAAATGAAAGCTTTAAAATGCCAGAGGGCTGCAGAGATGGCTCAGTGGTTAAGAGCACTAGCTGCTCTTCTGCAGGACCTGGGTTCCATCCCTGCACCCACAGAGCAGCTCACAACCATCTGTAACTCCAGTCTTAGGGGATCCGATGTCCTCTTCTGGCCTCCAAGGACATCAGACACACATGGGGTACATTGACATGCATGCAGGAAAAACACTTATACACATTAAAATGTAAGAAAATTAAGAAGGTTTATTTTTAAGTGTGTGTGTGTGTGTGTGTTGGCTTGTGCACATTTAAATGCAGGTACCTGTGGAGGCCAGAAGACAGCATCGTATCCCTTAGAGTAGAGTTACAGGTAGTTGTGAACCACCTTATGTGACAGTTGGGGAACAAAGCTCAGGTCCTTCCTAAGGCCAGTACATGCTCTAACTACTGAGTCACCTTTATAGCCCAGTGGTCCTCAACCTTCCTAATGCTGTGGCCCTTTAGTACAGTTCCTCAAGTTGTGGTAACCTCCAACCATTAAATTATTTCATTGCTACTTCGGAACTACATTTTTTCTACTGTTATGAATTGCAATGTAAATATCTGATATTCAGGATCTCTGATGTGCCCCTGTACCATTTTTTTAAATGCTGACTGTGACTCATTACCGGGGCTACAGATAGTGGCTTGAAAACTGTCTAGACACTATCGCTCAGACGTCAGAAGAGTGGAGACAGGGTCACTTTTACTCACTGCTGTGTCCTCAGGGCACAGCGTAGTGCCTGGCACACAGACAGGTGCTCGATCAATGTTTGTCGAATGGCTCCTCTAACACGTTCAAGTACCAATGATTAAGTGAATCTGTGAATGAATCGCCTACCCCACCCAGACGGGAAAGTGTGGCTTTGATCAGTCTTCCGTTTCTGAGAAAATCAGCGGTCCCTGTGGCTTTGATCTGCAGCCTTAATTCTCAACTGTCCTGCCCCAGCCAACAGCTCTGGCTGATCATTTCCTGTTTCCTGACTACCTTATCTCTCTCCCCAGATAATCTTTGGCTTTCTCTTTCTAGGTGACTCTGCTCCAAGGCCTGGACCTCAAATTCTTCCCCTCCAGGTCTCTGGCACAAGGGAGAGCTGACTAGCTGGATTAAGACTTCTCCAAATCCCAACCTCCTGGGGTGCAAGGACTTTCTGGGTCAGGCTCTAAGCATTCTGGAGGGCAGGGGTCAGGACTGGGGCTGCTGATGCTTATTAGGGCAGGAGAGGGAGGCGGCTAGGGATGGAGGCTTGACTGTGACAGAATAACCACCACCAAGTATAATCATACACTATGAAGATGCTCGGAGGAAAGGTTACATTTTGAAGACTAGGGAACTACCTGACTTTGGAGTATCAGGGAGGGTTTCTCCAAATTAACAAAAACCAACCAACCAACCAACCAACCAAAAGCTGCAAAAACCCCTGAAGACAGGAAGTGTTAGCTAAGCAAAGAGGGATAGTGGCAACAATTGCATGCCCAAAGGTCCTGAGGTAGGTAGGGACAGTGGTGACGGTGACCTGCTTGAGGGACTGAAGCAAACATGTGGAGCCCATGCACAGACTGTGAAATGAGGCTAAGGAGGTAGCCCGGGGCTAGCCCTGTGCCGCAAACGACAGGCATTTCGGGTTTATCCCCGGAGCAGTGGGAAGCCGTGGAACATTCCAGTAGGCACGGATGACCCTGTATTTTGAAAAGCCCTTTGCTGTGCTGTGGCAAACAGACAGGGCAAAGGGTCGGATGAGGAGCTGGGTTCCAAGACTGTAGAGCTCAGAGAGCAGCATCAGGGTGGCGAAGGAGGAGTTCCAGGCACATGACTGGCTTTGAGAGAGCCTGGGCTTTAGGAGGTCATGTGTCCAGTGGGTAGACTCAGCAGTCTGCCCCAGGGAGCCCCAGGGCCTTGCTGGACTTTGCCTCCCATCACCTGTCTGTCTTACTGAGAAGGCAACCTAAACACAAGCCGGACAGGTTGAAGGTGCAAAGTCCCGAGGTAGGTTCAGATCGCACGTGCCAGAGGCACAAGGCAAGTGGAGACGCTCTCTCTCACATACAGCAGTGAGGACAGGACCCCAGGAGAGTCACCATTAAGGTCTCCCCTGCCATTGAAATTTATAGGAGTCTTGGTGCTAGGGGGCTTCTGTGTAACTCCTGGGGCATGGCCCTTGCCCTGGCAAAGACCCTTTCCTTAAGGTAGCAGAGCCGAGGGCTGCTCCTGGAGGATCTGGGGCTGTTGAGTGGCCTCGGCCAGTGAGAGGGGTATCCAGACCTGGTCCCCCTTGCCTCTTCCTGCCTCTGACTCACGTTCTTGGAGTTCATTCCTCCATAACCTGATTACTCACGGAGCCTCCACCCTTCCCACGTAGGCCCGCACCCTTCCCTGGAGGAGGAGGGGCTGGCAGGGGAACCCTGAGGTTGTGAATGCATAAACCTAACAGCCATACCCCCCCCACCCCAGGGTAAGGTCTGAGTCTCCCCCTTGTTGTGGGAGCTCTCCATGATTATAGATGTTCCTTAGCTTTGTGGCTAGGAGCTCCTAGGAGTGCACCAGGAGTGTTTGCTGGGCCACCAAGAGGCCTTAGTGTCAGTAACCTACAAATGGTGTATGGATGGCCGGTGTGGGTGGGTCATAGGACCTCCAGCCCCTGTCCCTGATGCCGAGGGCTATCTGTGACTCTGAAGGGCTCAGCTGTGGGGGCCAGGGCAGCACGGAATATGGAAGGGTGCTTTCTCATCAGACCCATCCTGCTCCTGTCATCCAGGAAGCCCAGGCCCACTCCCTGCTGTGACTGTGAATGGGGTCAAGGGTTAATGGGGTTGCTAGGGCCCTAGAGAGTCTGGTCTCCAGCCGTCTTTTCCTTTCCTATCCACCCTGGGGGTAGAGGACTAAGTCTTGTCATTCTATTCTCTGGCATGCTTTACAGACCCTTTGCTCAGCAGACCTTCGGGGAGGGTAAGAAGTAACAAGTCCCGAGGGAGGAGTTTCCAGTGACCAGCGAGAGGATCTGAAGCAGCCCCATCATTTTCATCCCCAGGCTGCCTGCTCAGGTCATGCAATCTAGGACAGTTCTCACCGGCCTGAGCTGAATACTCAGGGGACACCATTCTCTCTGTTCCTGATCTTACTACTGTTTTGTGTCTACCCATCCCCCTCTACCATGGTTAAGGGTGCTCACGAGAAGAGAGCACCCACTCTAAGGCAATTCCTGACTGCTGGGGACAACAGGAGCCATAGGTAGATAAGCAAAATGACCAACAGGGACCCAGAGGTGCACAAGAGGCCATGGGAAGTTCGGAGGGTCTGGTGGCAGCTTCAAACCCCCTTCTAGAAGGACGAAGGAAAGCTAGTTGAGCAGGGCAAGCCACCTGGGTTACAATGGAAAGATCTCAGGGCTCCGATAACCGAGAAGGAAATGGTGATCAGTGGAAGTGGCCTCAGAGAGGAGGCATGGATTTAATCCATGGGGAGACCTGGAGTCTTCTCCTGCCTGTTCCCAAGGACACAAGCTGGTAGAAGTTCCCTTGGGTCTACTCCAGAGTGCCAAACTCCAGAAACCTGAGTGTCTTGGTGTCAGAGTGCCTTTGAGACATCATTCCTGGGTGGGCTGTCTGGCTGACCTTCTCTCGATTACAGGGTGGACATTTCTTGGGGCCTCACGTTGCTGACACAGGGATACAGGAGGCAGAGTCACATCTTCTGTAGCAGCATCCTGGTGGACGGACCGTACTGACTCTCAGATTGTCTACTGTCCCTCACAGAGTCTGCACACACTTTCCTTTGTGTTGGAGGTGCCTCACCACCTCCCAGAGCCTCTTCAGGATGAGTGGTTCCATGTGGAATGTCCTCCAGTGAGCTGTCAGAAACAGGGGCCAAAGGGAATTCCCTTTGGTCATCTTACCTCCCTGGAGACAAAGAGATACAAACACAAGCACATCCTCCGGAACTAAGAAGTGTTCACCACACCCTGGAGGATGCTTTGGTCAGAGCATTCTCTCCAAGCCCCTGAGTCACCATCTTCTCTGCAAACACCCAGGGGTAATGTGGACTAGGGACAGGGCTATTTGTCCTCTGAGTTCTGTATCCCTGAGCAAACATGGAGACACTTGTCTTCTTCCACTCACGGCAAGCTTTGGCCAATGGCTCCTGGCTAAGCTCGGCCTTCCCATGTATCACATAAGGACATTAGAGTCACCCTAATATGGTGGCTGTGAGGACTGAACAAGGCAATACTTCATGAGCAGAAGAGAAGTCAGCTGTATGTGTCCCTCATCATCTTTCTCCTCTCCCTGCTCACTGGAGAACATTCTGGGATAGCTTACTCAGTTCTGAAGAACTGATTTATTTACTGCTCTCCTTTGTGCTCTAAGAAAGATACTGGTTTATTGTGTATTTTCTGACATCAAACACGGAAGGGTGGCGGGGGTGGAGGACCGAGCCAAGACTTGGAGAGAAGAGAAATTAGGTCTCACTATGTAGCCCCAGCTGACCTGCAATTTGCTATATAGACCAGGCTGGCCCTGAACTCACAAAGTCTGCCTTTGCTTCCGGGGTGCTGGGATTAAAGGCATGCACCACCGTCCTGTTGAGAGCGATCTTGATGTGTGAAGGAAGACAGGGGTTGAGGAAGGGATATGGGAAGTGTCCCTGTGCCTTGCGTTAGGGTTAGGAAATATTCGAGCAAACAGTTTTGGAGTGAGCACTTTGGCGTTGCCATCCTTGATAACTGAATCGCCTGGGCGGTGTCTCTAAGGGAAGACAGGTGGAGCACAGGGCAGGGTCCATGGGAGGACAGCATCCTGAGCAGTGGCGGCGGCTGCATGATCCTGTGTATGCCTGTTGCCTCCCACAGTCCACTGGTTTTCTGAGCGAAAAGATGACCATGTGAACTCAAGAGCCACTTGGAGAGGGGCAGGCAGATCTCTGTGAGTTCGAGGCCAGCCTGGTCTACATAGAAAGTTCCAGGCCAGCCAAGGCCACATAGTGAGATCTTATCTCAACAAACTATCCAAGAGTCACTTGGAGGCCTCCTATCCCCTTTGTTAGACTGGAAGCTCTTGATGACAGGGACTTTGATTTGTTTTTTATTAGATGATGACTACTGGTATGGATGGACTGTATTCTTTCTGACCGTGGGCTTTGTCTGAAGCCCCAGACAGAATTCTATTCATGGCTGGATCCTATCTCTATGTTTGCCTGAGTCCATCTTCAAGAAGGTAGAAGGAGGAGGGGAACCAGCAGAGCACGAAGTGTCTCCAGCCACATGCTGCCCAAAGGTGTTGAGAGAATATCAGAAAAACAACCTGCTCCAACCCAGCCCCAGAGCTAGACATGTCATTTGGGAGCATGAAAAAAAATCCCAGCCCCACCCAGGAGGTTCTCGGAGTTCCAGGTAAGCTGTGTCTAGCCAGGCAATCTTCCCTCCTCTGACTCTGCCTCACGAGGTGCGGCAAGGGCCAAGCCAAACCAGAGTTCTATCTCGTGGCAGAGAACGTGTTTGCCTGTGTTTGGCAAAGTGGCAGGGATGGGGGTGGAGGTCACGATGACAACAGCTCAGAGGCTTCTGCAAGAAAGGAACAAAGTGTTTGCATTGTGGACAAGTTAGGATCTGCCCGAGTAGGTCATAGTTTGGGCAACATAGCTCACCGTGGCAGGGGGATAAAACCACTCATACTTTGGTTTAGTTTGTTGTGATTCTATTAAGCCTGACCATGGACTGAATGCCCTTAGATGCAGGTAATAGCACATATGGAGTTGGCCAATGTGAGGACAAGGTCAGGACGTTGTAAGGAACCCTTCCCCGCTAGAAGGGCAGGCTCTGCACATTGCAAAGAGAGTGGAACTATGACAAGGGTGTGCGTAGATGCTGTGGGAAGCGGGACACATGGGACAAAGAAGTCAAACTTCTCGAAGGTTGGAGGAGACTGTAGATGTAGATGATCCGAATCTTGAGGAATGAATGCATAGGTGGCTTAGTGGCAAAGAGTATTTGCTCTTGAGAGGATTGGGTTTGATTCCCAGCAGATCACAACTGTCTGTAACTGTAGTTTCAGGGGACCTGATGCCCCCTTCTGGCCTCCACAGACATTACCAACGTGTGGTGCACAGACATACATGCAGGCAAAACATCCAAACACATAAAAAACAAAAACAAGGGCTGGAGAGATGGCTCAGCGGTTAAGAGCACTGACTGTTCTTCCAGAGGTCCTGAGTTCAATTCCCAGCAACCACATGGTGGCTCACAACCACCTTGAATGAAATCTGGTGCCTTCTGCTGGCAGGCAGGCAGGCAGAAGATTGTATACATAATTAATAAATAACATAAAATAAAACAAAACAACAAAAAAAGGAGTGACTAAGTAAGAGACTCAAGAGGTGGGGAAGCGGGGGTGTAGAAGCACAGCAAAATGGAAAGGGGGTAGAAACAGAGCAAGCAGCTTAGCATGAAGTGGGGAGGAGGAGAGGGGGAATAGGACTTAATTTTTCTGAGCACTTAATAATCACCAAGTGCCTCGCCTATTTCATCCTCTGTACCGAGCGGCACTCTAAGCTGATACGGAGGAAGGGACTAACTTGGAGGATGTGGATGGTTGAGCCAGGTCAAATCCGGTTTGTTTGATTCCATGTGTGTGTTTTTCAAACTACACCAGTGGTGCCCTGTAGACTGTATTCTACAAGATTTATATTCTATAACATTTTTAGGGCTCTGCAGAGGTGATTTAAGGACATGCCGGATTTTAGTCTCATATTTAAAGTATGATCAACAGACTCTGAGACGTGTTACATAACAAAAGGCATTTCTTCCATGACTGTGCCTATTTCTGAATTCTTTATAAATGTATCATTGATGAGAAAGGCTGCACAGCCTGTTTGGGTCCATATGAAACCGTAGCAACTGGAGCTAGGGAGATGGCTCAGCTGGTAAAGTGTTAGGCATACAAGACTGAGGAACTGAGTTTGGGTACCCAACACCCATATCAAAAGCTGGACATTGCTGCATTTACCTGTAATCACAGTACTGGGAAGGTAGAGACAGGAGGATACTTGGGGCTTGCCGGCTAGCCAGTGTAACAGAATCAATGAACTCAGGTTCAGGGAGAAAACCCTGTCCAACACAAAACAAAACAAAACAAAACAGACTAATGTGGATGGCTGCAGAGATGGCTCAGTGGTTAAGAGCACTGCTTATTCTTGCAGAAGACCCAGTTTTGGTTCCCAGCACCTACCTAGGAACTCACAACTATCCATAACTCTAATTCCAGGGGATTTGGGACTTTCTTCTGACCTCCTCAAACGGTAGGCATGCACAATGGTGTGGATACATACTTGCAAGCAAAATACCCATACATATTAAAAAATACATAAAATCTTTAAAACATATCTCTTGGGCTGGAGAGTAGTCTCAGTGGTTAAGAGCACTTGTTGCTCTTACAGAGGACCCATTTCAATTCCCAGAACCCATATGATAGCTTATAACCACCTGTTAACTCCAGTCCCAGGAGATCCAATGCCCTCTTCTGACCTCAGTAGGCATCAGGCACACAGGCAAAACAAAAACATACTCATACACACACACACACACACACACACACACACACACACACACACACACACACAAATAAATAAATAAACCTAAAAATACCCCTAAACCTAAGATGGAGGAAAATACCAGAAATCAACCTTCGGTCTCTACAGGCACCTGCACGTAGGCACATACATATAAGTGCACACACACATGCATGAACATGAAGACATTCTTTCGTGTGCAAAGTAAAGGAGCTCAGAGGGGAAAGGGGCTTGATAGAAGAGGCAGCTGTGAGTGAGCAGGGCAGTGGAGGCTGCAATCTGACTCACATATGGCGCAGCTTGTAGCTGAAGAGGGAGCTGAGCTACCCGGAGGAGCCTGGAGAGGCTTAGGCCTTTGATGGGCAGGATGCAGCAGAGAGCTGGTTCTCCTGAACATCTGCAATGGAACATCAAACTTCTCTGACCCTTTAATGCAGACTCCTCAGCCAGCCAGATGTTTGCTCTGCTCTGCATTTTGCTCCTTCTCCCACATTGAGGATCTTCTTTGGAAAAAAAAATTAAATTGTCTGGGGGAAGATTAGGACAGCTGGGTTTTAAGGTGGCTCCTAGAACAAAGCCCATTGCCGCCTGGCATTTAGAAGTCTCCAGGCAGAGGGAACAGCCCGCTGGGAAACAAAGCCTACCATTCATCTCCTCTTACCCATGTGCACAGGGCTTCCAGGAAACTCTGTGCTGCTCCATTCTTAAATGTGAATGGGCAGCCATAAGCCAGGAGCTATTTGAGGAAGCCTGAAATATGAACTAGAAAGACTAAGATAAATAAACTGAAAATAAGATCGCTAAAGAAACAGAAACAGTTCATCTACCAGAAGGAACTGTAAAAGAAAGAATTCAGAAAGATACTGTATCTATTAAACACGAGACGTGGGGTGAAAAGGGAACAAATAGCAGAAAAGTCAGTTGGACAAATATATATATATATGTATATGTATAATTAAAATTCAGTGGAAATGTTGAAATAGAAAATAAAACAAGAAGGGAAAGAATCAGATTTTTTTTGTTAGAGAAAAGACAGAGGTGTTAAAAGGCAGTCAATGAGCCGGGCAATGGTGTACACCTTTAATCCCAGCACTTGGGAGGCAGAGGCAGGGGGATCTCCATGAATTAGAGGTCAGCCTGGTCTACAAAATGAGTTCCAGAGAGAAACCCTGTCTCAACAAAACAACAACAAACCAATCAAACAAACAAAAAACAAAAACAAAAGTAGTCAAAACAAGATGTCTGAATTGTACCATTTCCACACCCAGTGAATGTGAAGGAGGTGTAAATTGATGGTGAAATTAGTGGCTTGTAATGGTAATTAGCTAGTTGGTTATGTTTTCTCTTTGTTAGGTTTATGTATCATGGCTATTTTACCTCTGTAATAGGAGTTTTCTGCTTTGTTTTTAATGCTTTGAAAGTGAAAGTGTCTAGAGATAATCTAGAAACAACACCTCCAGTCTTTAAAAGAAAGCAGTTCTTTGCTGGGGGTGTGTGGGGTTACAGGGGTGGAACATGCCTTTTATCCCAGCACTTGGGAGGCAGAGGCAGGTGGATCTCTGAGTTTAAAGACAGCCTGTTCTACAGACAGAGTTCCAGGACAGCCAGGGCTACACAGAGAAACCGTGCCTTGAGGAGGGGGTGGGGAGCAGTTTTTTGACAATCATTTTTCAGTGTCTTCTTTTATTATTATGCCATGACCTTGGTAGCAGGTTATTCTCTATTCTATACTCTCTTTCATTATCTAAAGGAGTCTACTTAAACAGATTTCCAAATAAGTCACAAAGTTTGCATTTCAGAGCAAGAGGTCAAGCAAGCATGCCTGTAGCTAATGAGGTAAAAACACACCTGTCACACGAGGTTTCTAGAAAGGCTATTGCTAAGACTTAGTTATCCCTTTGTCCTCCTGCCTGCAGGAGGACACTTTGCTCTGGGGTAGAGGAACCATGAGACAAAGCCACTCTCTAGGGTGAGGCCAGCCAGAGGAGCCAGGGTCCTGGTGATACCTTGGAGCTCCACACCAACCAGAACCACCCACCCTTGGATTTCCTGTTAGAAAAGAAAAAACATACCCCTTTGTTGTTTAAGTTACTGATTGTTCCATTTTCTGTCCTTTGCAGCAGATTCACTTTCAATCGAAATACCCTTAACCTTACGAGCTGCTTCCTGGAACACAGGTGGTTTTAGATTCTGTGAAAAGTACCTTGTGAATTGCAGGCTAGTATGAAGGGAGGCAACTCTCCCCTCCCGTTTCCCCGTCTGCCCATAAACAGGAACTGACATCCTCTTGTAGGTAGGGGAAGAAAAGTTCAGAGGACTTTCTTGATGCCCTGTCACTGATTCCCCCCTGTGGGAGCAGGTGGGATGCTGGGATGCTGGGAAAGGGAACGGAGCCTGCGTTGCTCAGCCTGTCCCTGGTGCTGTATGCACGGACCTGACTTGAGTAGCATGCTGTCTAAGCTTCTGCATCCTCCAGGCCTCAGCTCCAGGCTGACCCAGCTCCTGCTCAGGGAGAACTTCAATAGTCCAGCTGCTCAGCTGAGTGGGTGGGTTATTTCAAAGCAGGGGAGTGGGAATAGGAAGCCCACTTGGGTTTTTGGGTCCTAGCCATATCCTCCGGTCCATCTGGCCCCCAAAGAGAGCCAACATCTGAATCCCTGTGTGTCTCCTGTGACTATTTCTTCACTGGATCAAAACATGGAGAAGTGTGTATGTGTGTGGGGGGGGTGGTGATCAACCAAGACCCACAAAACCCACCCTCTGTTGAGTTCTTAGCCACAGTGGGAAAAGGCCCCAGATTGAAAGTAAACACTGGTTTAAAAATGTTTGATGATTTGTAGGCTCCATTGTTCGTGTGTCTTTTGATCTTATCATTAGGTATATTTAATTTAAATTCTTTTTTTTGTTGTTGTTTTTTGTTTTGTTTTTTTTTTGAGACAGGGTTTCACTGTGTAACCATGTCTGTCCTGGAACTCCCTGTGTAGGCCAAACTGGCACTCACAGGGATCCCCCTGCCTCTGCTGGGATTAAAAGCGAGCACCACTACTGCTGTCAATCTAAATTATTTTTAAGGTAAGTGACTGGACTGGGAGCTGTTAAACCCCTGTGTGTTACAGTCACTAACTTTCTCTGTGGCCTGACTTTTCCAGGCTTTAGTTTTACTGGTTATTAAACAAGGGCATCAGACTATAGGAGTGACAGGTGCCATGCCAAGTTTTAATAGTCTTGTGTTCATTCAACACCTTTCTCTTGAGTACCTCTATCGTTGAGCGCTGTGCTGGAGGCTGGTCATATAAGATTATATAAAACCAACCTGGCAGCTGGACGTCATGCTGTACACTTGTAATGGCAGCACACCACAAGCTGAGGTAGGAGGGTTGCTGTAAGTTTGAGAGTACCTTGAGCTACATAGTGAGTACCAGTCCAACCAGTAAGAGCTTGTCTGAAGAAAAAACCAAGCAAGCGGGCAATCAAACCTACAAACAAAACCAACACAGCTAGGGATAGCTTGGAGGTTGGAGTCCCCTGGAAGCAACAGACCACACAGGAACAATCATGGGCATCTTATTCTTTTAGTCACTGTACTTGTAAAACAGGAACAATTGGATTGGACACACATTCCTCCTGGTTCTCACTCATCCATACTCATGGAAAACCTCGCTGGCTGGTCCAACAGCCACACATGAAGGTGCCACCACTCACACAGCTGTGCTCCAGCCTCTGTGCTTTGGAAACTACAGAGAGGCTTCCAAAGGCCTGGGTTTCAGATTAAAAAAGAAAGAAAGGCTAAGCATTTTTTTAGAAGTTACAAATTAAGAACACGTTTGCCCAAAAGTTAAGCAATACAGAAAGGAAGTTTGCCCGTGCCCCTCCCAGCTCTGTGCTCCCTTGGAAAATAGCAACAGTGGGTAGATGCATATCCTTTATTAGCTATAGGGTCTAGAGGGGCAGGAATGGGGTCTGCCTTGCCTGTGATATATCCCTGGTATATGTCAAGTAAGTATTCAGTAACTGAATTAATGATTAAGTCATAATCCTATGCAAAGATCATATGTGTATATTTCAATATTAAAATTTGTTTTTGCCATGTGGTGGTGCATGCTTTTAATCCCAGCACTTGGGAGGCAGCAGCACGAAGATCTCTAAGTTTGAAGCCAGCCTGGTCTACAGAGCAAGTTCCAGGACAGCCAGGACTACTAACAACAAACAAACAAACAAACACAAAACAAAAAGCTAAACATTGCTGGGCAATGGTGGCGCACGCCTTTAATCCCAACACTTGGGAGGCAGAGGCAGGCGGATCTCTGTGAGTTCAAGGCTAGTCTGGTCTACAGACCTAGTTACAGGATAGGCAGGGCTACACAGACAAACCCTGTCTTAAAAAAAAAAAAGCCAAACAACAAAATGAAAACAAAAGCAACCAATATCCCCATGCACAGAAAAAAAAAAATGTTACATATGTTTTTCTCTTTGCACCTTACCCCTCCCCCCCCCCCCAAATCTATTATGGACGACTGTGTGTATTGTTTTAATTTATTCACTCTTTTACTATGGGTTGAATTGTGTCACCCTTTAAAAGGTACATTAAAGTACCCAAAACCTGGTGCTGATGAATGTGACCATATTTGGAATAGGGTTTTAACCGATGTGAGAAAAGCCAAAGGAGGACTGGCTTTGCCAGCACCTTGGATTCTTGTGGGCTTGTTTGGCAGAATGAATTTCTGTTGTTTAAAACCATTTAGTTGCGGCCCTTTGCCCTGGATAAAGCATCCACTCTTTTGGTGTAAAGTTGGTTGCTTGCGTTTGTGGAGCTGTGATGATGGTGCCTGCTACCATTTTTCTGGGTTGCATGGGTTGTCTGGAGCAGCAACCCTAGGGATTTGTTCTTTTCTCCAGGAAGCCTTTGGAACAATCATGGACCAAAGCCTGAAGGCTTTAGCCTTGGTATAACCTTGGCTGTGTTGCCAGCTAAACACCCCGGACACTTGTATCCTATTTGGATCGTGCCCTCGACTAAAAAAGTATTTGTTGCACATTTGAAATGCAAATTTCATGGAGCTTCTGGATTTTTATTTGTTAAATCTGGCATCTCTAATCCTCTGGCTGTGGGTAATTCATACTGTACCAGAGGGAGCCCTGGGGACCTCCTCCGTCTTGGGCTCTTTGGAGAAGAGTATCCTCCAGGACCCTGAGGGTACACAGTGGTAGCAGCCTCCCCAGGGCTCAGCCTGTGACCTTTCTTATTCCCTGCTTTTCAACTCTGCACCTGCAGTTCTGACTACCCCTGGCCTTCCCTCTCTCCCTTCCACTGGCCTTGCAAAGGCAGTCTTGCTATGTCCGCAGGACAGAACTAGCTCATGGTGTTCAGGTGTGTGACGTGAGCCTGGGAGAGGAGCTTCCCAATCTTGCCTTGGTTCAAGAATCGCCTGAGGGTTAGTTAAAGAATCTATTTCATGGGGCTGGAGAATTAGCTCAGTGGTTAGAACGCTTGTTGTTGTCAAGGACCAAGGTTCCCTTCTCGGGCCCCAGGCATGTGTGTGGTGCTCAGGTGTATGTGGAGGCAAAATGCTCACACACATAAAGTGATAGAAAAAGG